TTCTTCTCTAGCTCATTTTATAGGTGAGGAAACTGAAGCAAACAGGGTTAAGTGACTTGCCCAAGGTCACACAGCTAGTAAGTATCTGAGACTAGATTTGAACTCAGGAAGATGGGTCTTCCTGACTTTAGGTCTGGCACTCTATTCATTGTGCCAGCTACCTGCCATTGGAACAACACTTTTGTGTTTTGCCAAATTGATGAAATTGACAAATTAATAAACACTGCTCAACTGAATTGTATCTTGAAGGTCTAATTGGCCTAGCTGTCTAATTATTATTTTTAAAGCAAGGGTACTTATCTTGGGGTTTGTGAACTTGGATGGGGAAAAATACATCTTTATTTTCATTAACATTTGGTTTCCTTTTTTACTGTTAAGTATTTTATTTTATTTCATGTATTTAAAAACATTATTCTGGGGCAGCTAAGTGGTGCAGTGGATAGGGCACTGGCCCTATAGTCAGGAGGACCTGAGTTCAAATCTGGTCTCAGACACATAACACTCACTAGCTATGTGACTCTGGGCAAGTCACTTAACCCAATTGCCTTACCAAAAAAAAAAACCAAAAAATAAAAAAACATTATTCTGAGAAGGGGACTGTAGGTTTTTCACCAGGCTGCCAAAGGGGTCCATGACATGAGAAAAGGTTAAAAACCCCTAAACTATAGGGATAATTTAGATATATTAAGGCAAGGAGGGTATTCCTGATATATGGTCATGCTTTGACCTGCTTGGTTTTCACTCACTTCTGGTATTAACATTCAACTTTTATTTAATATGGCCTAGGACACTGTTTTCATTGAAGTCTTGGGATAATATTGTAAGGAAGATGTATACATTTTTTTTCTATACTGGTTCTTATTACGGAAAAAGAAAATGTTGCTTCTGTTAAATAAACCGAGACATATTGCTAACAATTTTACAATTTCTCCTCTAGTTCTGGCTAGTGTGACTAGTGTATGCTGTTTAATGGAAACAAACTGCAAAGTATTAAAGTATTATGGGATCTGGCTCAGCTTCCTTTCTTGAACTGGGAAGGAACATGGAAGCCAGCGTCAGAGAATTAAACAAATACTGTGCACTTTTGTCCACCTCTAAGTAGACCACATTGTTCAACTTTTCATTGAAAAGTATGAAATCCATAATACATGGATTTCTTCAACATGTGGCAAATACAAAGAGAATTACCAATCTGGGTGATACTAGAGTTATTACTTATGTTTAATACATGTTTAATACAGATATACTTGGATATACATTGGCGATCTGAATGATTCAACAGTTGGAATCTGAGCACATTCAGCCAAGTTTGTACTAAAATGTACAGTATATTTTGGGAATGGTCAACAAAGATTGGTTCCCAACTGTTTTTAAAATCTAGTGTCCTAAAAATCAAATATTTCACATTAAATGTTTTGTTATGTTGTCTAGTGTTTTTTTTCTTCCTTTTTTCAATGACTTTGAAAGCAATTTTTAAAGATGAATTAATAAAACAAAATGTTAAGATTAAATGGCACCTATAAATTCTCTTTGGGGCTTATAAATGTGAATTTGGTCTAAATGGCCAAATTCTTCTCAACCATGAAGAGTTTGTCTCATGTAATAATGATGCCCAAGAGAAGCAAGTCAACAAACATTTAGTGTGTACCTATTATGTGCCAGGCACTGTGCTAAGGCATGTAGCATAGTGATTAGTGGCTAGTCAAAATTTGGATTCAAGTCCTGTCTCTGAAATATACTAGCTATGTGACATGGGCAAGCCCACAGGTGATTCTCTGAGTCTTCAAGTTATAGAGTTGTTGATTTGTATTATTGGAAGAAGATTCCAAACTAGGAGGTCCCTAGACTAATAAAATGATAGGTATAGACAAAAAAAGAAATAAAAAATGAAAAATAAAAAATAAAATAAAAGGATGTCCATAAGAATCCAGGAGCAATATCATGTGGGAGGGCAAAATCAATGAGATTAACAGACAGGAACATCTAAGAATGCCAAATACCTAAAAACAAAACAAAACAAAACAAACAACCCCCCCTGCCAAAACAAAACACCCTCACTCTGTAACTACAGTCATCACTTAAATTTTTCTACTATGTTCACTGAACTTCCGTGGTTATATATTGTGCAAAATAAGCTCATTGTACTTTTGCTAAAATCAAATTTTTAAAAAAATCCATTATAGTAGATTTTCTTACTACCCTCAATCTCAGTGGCCTTAAGCCAAAACTCTCCCTAGCCCAAAACTTATTGGTTTAAATTTTATGAAAGGTAATTAGTGAATAATAGGGGTAGTCTGCTACTCAGCCAGCTTTCTGTTGAATAGCTTAACTAAGCAGAGAGGTGTTATTTTTAATCATACCTCTTGCTGAATTTAGTCATGATTTACTATTGATAAATCAATCCAATGAAAGGACTGAACACTTTCTGCCAACTTACCTGAAATTCAGATACTTGCCCAACAGAATGCTTTTAATTAAACTAGTGCTATCACTGCTAAGGTTAAAATCTGAGGGATGACTTTCAGATATATGAGGGTATCAAGTGGATAAGGCTAATTAAGGTGTGTCCCGCAAATTACTTTAAATTTGCCTTCTAATGCTGATATAGCTATTTTAAGTGAAAAATAACATCTTTTTCTATGTTATAATAATATATAACATTGATTTAAGCATTTTAAGGTTTTGTAGAATCTTGGACAATTAACTCATTTGGGCATACCCTGAGGTAGCTACTTGTTTTATTACCACTCCCAGTTTGTGGATAAATAATGTGAGGTTTATTAGACTGAATTATTTGTCTTAGGTCAACCAACTATTAAACAATGGAAGTGGGATTTGTAAACAAATCCCTCCTCACTCCAAGACCAGAACTCCTATAACAATATAATACTGTTCCTTAATGGTGATCACATTTGAATGGGGGAGAATCCTCAAAATGAATTACTAATTTCCCTGTTCAAATTTAAGAATGTGCCTTGTGGTGGAAGAACAATGTGTTCATACTGTTTCAGATTTAACTCTATGGTTTTGTCACACTGTTGAAATAAAATATGCCCACTAAAACTGACTATGGCTTCCCTAACATTTGCCTGCAGGGAAAATCAGTTGAAAGTCAATGCATATCACTGTAGGCTGGCTAGGAGCATGGGATGGCTTGCAAAAATATTGTGAGAACTTTAAGTACTAAGGTGGGGAACATTCTTTATATGCAAATGGAACAGTTGCACTGCACTCCATTCCATCAATAATAGGTCAGACTCAGATGTTATCAGCCCAAGTGAAGAAATAAAACAAATACTGCCTTCTTCACTGGTTTGCCTGAATATAATTGTCAGCATGGAAAACTAACTGCAAATGGGCTATAGAGCAGAACCTTGGTTATTAAGACATATGTCTGAGCCAAGTAACTTCCCTGTGTAATTCAATAACTCTCCCTATTTACATCCCTGTAGGTTTTTCTACATTTTATTCTTTGATATTTCCCTTATTCCTTTAAGAAAATATTGCAATAAAACAAACTCCCTACAGTAAAGTAGATACTAACCCTTCCTTGCACAGAAATTGCTTTGGAAACCTTCCTTCTTTCATATTCCTCGAGGTTTATTTTATTTGGTTTTAGAAATTCAACTATGTAGCCACAGAGTAAAAAAATTTTGGGTGATAAAAGGGACAAGAGGTATGTGAAGGCCTGACAACACATGACTGCCTCTGCTAGTTAAAAAAACAAAACAAAACAAAACAAACAAAACTATTTAAATGAGAATTCAGTAATTCGTAAAAAGAAACAGGATGGTTTTTTTTTGGGGGGGTGGGAAGAAAGGGAAGTGTGTATGGAATAGTTGTGTTGTGTTTCCTTGAGGTTTATGTGCATAAGACCTTGTGATTATTTATGGGTGGCAGTGGTAAAGTTCTGTTTTTTAAGGTAAACATTAATGTGTATTTAAGGAAGAGATTAAGCTGGTTTGCTTTTGAGAAACTGGGCATTCTCTAACTGATTCCAAACTGCTTGCCACTTGCAAAAGCCTATTTCTAAAAGACCAATATTCTCCCAGTAATAGTCACCAAGGAATGCATGTATGTCATGGAAAATGAAAGTTACCAGCAAACCAAAAGACAACTGAAAGACATGGCAGGAATATAAGCAGGTTACAGAATGTTTCTAATGACGACTTGTGTTAAATAAATGACATATAAGATTACCTAGGCCTGGGAAAAAAGGTGAGCCACTTGGAGAACAAAAATGAGAGACAACAGATGGATAACTTGGGAGTTAGCTGTTGTTCACAATATACTGAAAACAAAACAAAAAGAAAAAAAATAGGATAAAGATCTCTAGAGAGGGGTATATCCTCTATGAAGAATTTTTTTTTTTAAAGAATGAATAAGAATAACACAGGATGAGAAGGTGTGCAAAGGTTGCCGATTATATGGCTGGAGGAAGCAATCCCATTGATGATATCAAAAAGTCTTTCATCATATTAATTTCTGTGTATAAATGTTTCCCAATATCAGGTTAAAAATATGATTGAAATAAACCAGAAAATGAGCACGTGTGGTTTGGGAAAGCATAAACATTTTCTGACATGTCACACCCACAGAAATACATTGATTTTTCTTTCTAGCTACACCATTTTGTACCTTTCTTGAGCTAAGCTTTATTGTTAATATATTCCTTTAACTATTTGCAAAGCAGTAATAAATATTCAATGGCTTAGGAAGAGAAGATTCCTCATGCCTACTTCTAAATTACAGTTTAAAGACTCAAGACTATGTTGGTCTAAAATATATCTTCAAGTATTCTTTTGTTGTGTAGACTACAACAGTAGTACCTTATTGCACATTATTTCTGGCAAATCTTCCTTCCTTCCTTCCTTCCTTCCTTCCTTCCTTCCTTCCTTCCTTCCTT